GCCCAATTAGGGAGTGGAAACAGGTAATACACTTAAGATCCCGGGTTAGTATTTCCATCACTTTTATTGGCTAAAGGAAGCCACGTGGCCATACTCAAAATCAGTGCTTTAGAAAGTGCTCCACAGAATCAGTTGGACTGTTCTGGCCAGTTTCCTGGCAAAGTTCTAGTCCCAGCGAGTGAAGACATGCTGACGCCAGCCGGTCGACCACACCTGCCAACTCTTCACTTGTAATATAAATATTAAACCAATAATTTTACTGAGTATATAATAAATTCTATACAATCTGTTCATCAGCAGTTATTGTTTTAATGGCAAATATGTGCCTCATGTGTCCTGCTAAGAAGGGTCTCACATGCTCCAGAGTGGTCACTGGGGGGAGGCTGCGCTTGGAATTTCAGGCCTGTGGGGGGCGCCTCCCAGAGCCTTTTGGGACTTGTAGCTCACAGCCTTGGGGATCCCTGGCACTGCCCCGGGGGTCCTGGGTTTATGTCCCTCCCGGGAGGGAGGCAACGTGAGTTTTCAGGGGGGGGGTGCTGCAGGGGGCGTAGGGGCACAGTGGGGAGTCCACAGGACGCGCCCCAGTGCCGAGCGCCCCGTGGCAGCTGCCGAGCTGGGCTCGCTCGTCCTCGGAGCAGCGCGCGGACCGCCACGCGGGTCCACACCCGCCGGGACACGCACGTGCCCGCTTTGGCCGAGAGTCCTGCCTGGCCCGCGCTACCAGAGCCCAGCCTGGCTCCCAGCGCCAAGAGCCAGTTTGCAAGAAGGCGGTTTGGGGGAAGAAGCACCCAGTGGTATGAATGTCACGAAGCTCCTCGTGGAAGATCGGGGACATGGGCAACTGGAGAAGAACCACGACGCCCCCCAGAAGCTCTTAAGGCGAACAGCATTCACATCCAGGTAAAGGCGTTTGCTCAGGAGAAAGCTGCTGAATGGCATGATTTGGGGGAAGCTTAGTCTGAGCTCAGATGTTTGATCGCAGGGCGGTTCTGTAGGAAAAAACTTCCATGACTGTGACATGGATAGCGAGGGTTTGGTATCAGATTCTTTCTTAAGCCATCATCCGATGGGCTATGCAGACCAGGGACCCTGTGGAAAGAACAAATATGGAAAAGACATCAGCCAACGCAGTCACCTTACTCATTACGAAAGAACTCAGACATCTGCATACCCAGAAGGTAGTAAATCATTTCATCATGTTATGGCTCTTTCTACAAATAACAAAATCAATACCACAGAGAAATCACATGAATGTAACTGCTGTGGAAGAACTTTTATTTATTTTTATTTTATTTTAAAGATTTTTATTTATTTATTTACACAAGAACCGGGATAAAGGCCAGATTCGCGGGAGGGTGAGAGGACTCGCCAGAGACAGAGTGGAGAGCAGAACAGGCAGACTGACTGAAATACACTGCTGAGGGGAGCAGCGGGTGAGACAGGAGAGGTCTGCTGCGCCATGTGGGACCCTCGCTGGCCGGCATGCAACCGGCGCTGCAGTGGCTGAGGACAGCTTCACAGCACTGTGCTCAACCGCCTGCACCGCCAGGAGAGGCCCTGTGGAAGAACTTTTAACCGGAGGTATTCCCTGAGTGAGCATCAGAGAATTCGTACAGGAGAGAAGCCATATGAGTGTCAGGAATGTTGGAGTGCCTTTACACACAGCTCAATACTCACTGGACACTTGAGAACTCATACTGGAGAGTAGCCCTACACGTGCAATGAATGTGGGAAGGCCTTCAACAGGATTTCATTTCTTACCCAATACCCGACGATTCACAAGGGAGAGAAGCCCTATAAATGCAAAGATTTGGAAAATCTTTCTGGAGAATTCCTACCTGATTTTGCACAAGAGAACGCATACTAGTGAGAAGCCCTACGGATGTAATGAATGTGGAAAGGCCTTTAGCTATCATTCCTGTTCATCTCTTAGCCTACACGAGCGAACTCATACTGGTGAGAACCCCTATTAATGTAATCAATGTGGGAGAACCTGCAGCCAGAGGTCTTCCCTTGTTCAGCACGCGAGAACTCACACTGGTAAGAAAGCTTACAGCTGTAATGAACGTGGAAAAGCATTCAGCCAGAGCGCCTCTCTTATCACTCATCAGAAAACACGCTAGTCAGAAAACCTATAAAGTAATTGATTGTGAGAAGTCTTTCTATCAAAACCACTGCCTTATTGGATTTTAGAGATTGCTTGCTACCCTGTAAAGTACTTTTTTTTTTAATTTTTTTTAATAGAGGCATGTTATTTATTTATTTATTTGTTTGTTTGTTTGTTTGTTTTGTTTATACATGCACTGGGTACAGTCAGAAGCGCAGGAGGGTGAGAGAATTCACCAGAGCCAGAGCGGGGAGCAGAGCAGGCAGAAGGACCGAAGTACACTGCTGAGGGGAGCAGCGGGCGGCAGGAGAGGTCTGCGTGCCATGTGGGACCCTCCTCCGGTGGCCGGGGAGCAGCCGGGGATCGAACCGGCGCCGCAGAGGTCGCCGGCAGCTTCGCAACCCAGCGCTCAACCACTGCGCCGCCGGGGAGGCCCCAGCTGTAAAGTACTTTTTTTTTTTAAGTGATGGTTTGTTTTTTTTTAAGATTTATTTATTTTTATACAAGAACCGGGGTACAGGCCAGATGCGTGGGAGGGTGAGAGGATTCACTGGAGACAGAGCGGGGAACAGAACAGGCAGACTGATGAAATACACTGCTGAGGGGAGCAGCGGGCGAGACAGGAGAGGTCTGCTTAGCCATGTGGGATCCTCACCAGTGGCCGGGATCGATCCCATGCTGCAGAGGCTGCGGACAGCCTCACAGTGTGGTGCTCAATTGCCTGCACCACCTGTAAAGTGGAGGCCCCTGTAAAGTACTTTTTAACATTCTACCATAGAAGCATGTTTAGACTTTGCCCTTCTGATGTGCTAATTGAAAAATACTAAGTTTATGCCTTAAAGGAAAGCACTGAGGTCTGGATCTGAGAAGGAACATTTTAACAGGGAAAATTGCCAAAGTGCTATGCCCAGTGAGCTCTGTCCTCTTAGGAATGATGGGTCCAGGTGAACATATTAAGAATTATCATGGGCCTCCCCAGTGGCACAGCGGTTGAGCGCGGGGTTGCGAAGCTGCCAAAGCCTCTGTGGCACCAGTTCAATCCCCGGTTGCTCCCCAGCCACCGGAGGAGGGTCCCACATGGCGCGCAGACCTCTTCTGCCGCCCACTGCTCCCCTCAGCAGTGTACTTCGGTCCTTCTGCCTGTTATATTCCCTGCTCTGGCTCTGGTGAATTCAATCACCCTCCCGTGCTTCTGACTGTACCCAGTGCTTGTATAAATAAATAAATAAATAAATAAATAAATAAATAAATAAATAAATAAATAAATATTAAAAAAAAAGAACTATCACATTAATTTAGCTGTTTAAACCAAATGTTTTCTATTTCAACTTATTTTCAATTATTAATTTTTTTTCAATCACCCATTTTAATATTTTACTTTGCTGGCTCCTAACTATGACACTACCATGGAAATGCAGAGCATTTGCTACTAGACAGTGCTTTGGATGTGAACTAAAAAACAAAGTGCAAAATAGTCTGTGTGGGGGCCTCCCTGGTGGTGGGAGGGGTTAGAGACACAGCCTGCGAGGCTGTCTGCAGCTTCTGTAGCACAAGTTTGATCCCCAGCCAGGGAGCTACCCACATGGTGCAGCAGACCTCCCCTGTCTCCTCGCTGCTCCCCTCAGCAGTGTATTTCAGTCAGTCTGCCTGTTCTACTCCCCATTCTGTCTCTGGTGAATCCTCTCACGCCCCACATCTCTGGCCTATGCCCCAGTTCTTGTATGCATAAATAAATCTTTGAAAAAACAGTCTGTGTAATTCTATCCGATGAAGTCAATTATATACATAAATGGACCAAGGGCAGGCAGAGATGGGAATAATGAACAGCTTCTTTATCATGGCTGTCTGGTTATGTATGATTTTCTGCCTTTCACCATTTCAGTTGGCATTACTATAATCATCTTGACAATAAGTGAAAATCAACCCCAAGGGATTTGTTTCTGTGGTTGGTCAGGGAGAACTGTGGATACCAAGCTGGCAAAGATACAGCGTGGTGTATATATATATATAATATATATTAAATATATATTAAATATATTAAATATATATTTAAATATTTATTTATTAAAGATTGATTTATTTACACAAGAACTGGGGTACAGTCAGTGGCACGGGAGGGTGAGAGAATTCACCAGAGACAGAGTTGGGAGCAGAACAGGCAGACGGACCGATGACACTGCTGAGGGGAGCAGCAGGCAAGGCAGGAGAGGTCTGCCACGCCATGTGGCTTTCTCCCTGGCCGGCCGGGAATTGAACCCACACTGCGGATGCTGTGGACAGCTTCATGCGCTGTGCTCAACCCGCTGCGCCAATGGGGAGGCCCACAGCATGGTATATTGACACGGAAAAGTGGCGTGACCTTGGGTGGTCTGGGAAAAGTCACAACTGTGAGATGTACTTGCCAGAGAAGCGACCAAGAGCACTGTTATACATCATTACCACTCCTATTTGTTGGATGCTCACTATATTTATGGGGCCACTAACGTTTGTATATATTTCCTCATTTAACCTCAACAACCCCATGAGATTGTAGCTTTTCATATTCCCATCTTACAGAACGGGAAACGAAACTTGTTAGAAGGAATCTGGATTTGAACCTGAGCAACTTGTACAAGCCAGCGCCAACCACTGCTCCCGGAGGTCACCAGACCCTCCAATCTTGTGCTGTCCCCTCTGGCTGCCAGTAGCTGGTCTCGACTGGGAGAGCTCCGGGAAGAAACACTCTGGACTTCCCTGCTTAGGAGCAGGATGCAGTAGGGCGGCCCAGCTCTCCGCAAACACCTGTCCTGGAGAGAGGGGTGCCAGCTCCCAGCCGCGTCTCAGGCTGGACTGGGACTGGGGAAAGAGCCTGGCAGAGAAGGACTGAGGCCTAGAACAGCACTTCCGCCCGGATATGCCATGTGACCATCGCGTAGGCGTTGCTGGGAAAACTGCCCAATCAGAGGCGCAGGACTCTACAGCACTCTCCAATCAGTGGCTCGGGGCACTGACCAATCAAGAGCGTTGGGGGGTGGGTCTGGGAGCTCCGTCCAGTCAGGTCCGGGAACGAGCGTCGCTCGCAGTCGCGTGCAGGGCGCGCCGGCCGGGCTCGGCGCTCATTAGCCCCCGCGCTGCGCGGCCCGGGGTGCCCCTCCCGGCGCTCGCACCTGCCGGCCCAGGAGAGCCAGGAGTAAGGCCAGAGACGGTGAGTTCGCTGTCCGGGGACTCGTGGCGGGAGGGGCTGTTTCAAACCAGCTGGAACCCAGACGCGCGCGGCGGCCGGCCGCCCGGGGGCGCCGCACTGTCCGCGCGGGGGGCTCCCGCAGGACAGCTGGGGGGCGGCGCGACGACCTGATGGGGCCCTCGGCTGGGGTCCGTGCTGATAGGGCCTCGGCCTGACCCCGACCCGTTCCCTTCTTGGAGGGGCGTGTCAGGTGATGGACACTGAGGGGAAAGACAGAAGTGACTCCCGGCCCCAGGTTGTCACAACCGAAGAGAGAGAAGAAGCCCAGCGGACAGGAAGGCCCACTAAGCGCACGTAGTGTGGCCACATGCAGCGCAGACTGGGGACTGAGCGGGACAGGTGCCCGTGTCCTTTGTTCAGGAAGCATCCCAGGGAGGGGGGGGGTCCCCAAGGGGCAGGGAGGCCGCGCCTGCCCCTGGAGTCTAGTGTCTATGATCCAGTTCAGCAAACCTGGGTCGCCGGGGTTTGTCGCCTGGAAAAGATGTGGTCACCGACTGGAGCTCCAGTTCTTCAGCAAATGTCAAATAAAACACCTCACATTTCATTTGTTAACCGCCCCCCGCCCCCCACGTAGTTGAAGTTTCTCAGGCGTGTTCCTGTGAGTGAGAACTTCAGTGGAATTCCAGAGCTAAACCTTGAAAGTCCTGCTGAGGATACCCAAGAAATACAGGCACTCTCCCTGTCAGTATGGCTGCAGAAAAATTAATACATTTCCATAAAGTGTGGTAGGTAGATTGATGCAATTTCAACATTCGCCAAAACAGTTATTTTTCCCTGCAAGGAGTGGCCTTGGCAGGGCAGTTGACAGTCCTGTTTCCTGTTTCCTCAGTGCACTTGCTGTAATTTGCAGTTGATTATTGCGACGAAATTGGCGGGAACAGGCATCTTTCCTATGCAATTCCGTTGTCCCTGTCCAATGTGCTGCCTTGTCTTGTCCTTTCTGCTCGACTCTGCAGTTCCGTCTTTTATTAGTCAAGCTCCCCCGCAGACGTAGGCCTGCCTCAGGACGCTGCTTCTGTCCATCTCCTTGTCTGTTTTCCTACTAACTCCAACCTGTCAACATTACTATTGCTTTAAAATCCTTGCTGTATGATGGGCAGCCCCCCTCCCCACCTTGTTCTTCAAAAATTTTGCCTGTTTTTCAACTTTTTTTCCTATTAGGTTTGTCAAGTTATTATTTTCCAAGTCCTTAAAAAAAAATCTGTTTGGGGGATTTAATGGAATTTTATAAAGACCATAGGTCTCTTGGGAAGGTTGATATCTTGGTAATTCTGGGTTATCTTAAGAACATGTGTCATCTCCGCTTATTTCAGTTTGCTTTGTTATTATCCTTCATGTTCAAAATGTTTCCATTTTGTTATTTTTTACAGCCTTCAATATAGAATTATTTAGAATGAGTTAAATTTGGTTTTAATCATAGAATGTGTTGCCTTTTTAAAATTAATTTCTACCTTGCTTTTTTTATTAATTAAAAGATAATGAAATTAATTTTTGTGTTGAATTTTTTTTAAAGATTTATTTATTTATTTATACAAGCACTGGGTATAGTCAGAAGCACAAGAGGGTGAGAGAATTCACCACAGCCAGAGCGGGGAACAGAACAGGCAGGTGGACGAAATACACTGCTGAGGGGAGCAGTGGGCACAGCAGGAGAGGTCTGCGCACCGTGTGGGACCCTTGCCAGTGGCTGGGGACCGAATGGGCACTACAGAGGCAGTGGGCAGCTTCGCAGCCCAGCGCTTAACCGCTGCGCCACCAGGGGAGGCCCTGTGTTGAATTTTTATGCTGGAATCTTGCTTAAAGTCCTGTTCTATGATTGTCTTTTGTTCTGTGGGTGTTCTGTGCATATAGCTGTTAGATCTGTGTATATTGGATCCTTAGATGATGTTGACTAAGTGTGGGGTGTGTGGATAATTGATTTGTATTTAATTGTGTTGGAGAAAACAGTGAATTTCATTTCAAGTATATGGGTTTTGTTTAAAAAAAATTTTTTTTTAAAGTCAGTTTTCCTTTATCAGGTTATCCATGCAGAAGGGCCAAGACAGGCTGCCTCAGGATTGCCTCAGTGACATGCTGGTTATTTTGAACTGAAAGAAATTGAGACAAAAGATCCAAGAATGATTTTTTTGCATAATTATCTGTCTATTTCATAAAAGGACATCTTTTTTTTGTGGTAGTCTGTGAGGAGGGAGGCAGCCATAAAGCCTTGTCATCCCACCCCAGGACCTTCAACATCTGTTTTTGATACATATGTAGACAGACCCTGTAAAATTCCTTTCTCTTTAAATTACAGATTTCTTCCCTCTGATTGTTCTCATCTCACTTTCTTGCCCCCTTTCCAGAGACTGCGGTGACAGGATGACAGCTTCCCGTATTTTATGTAAAGGCCTCTTGTGTGCACATAATTAAAGTTTTTTTTCTCACTAATCTCTCTTGTGTCAGTTTAGTTATTTCCCAGACATGTAGGCCTATTAGGGTAGAAGAAGATTAACTTCCTCCCCAATAGACCTTACCAGCTTTTATACCCCAATGTATGAGTGTTTTTTTCTTTAATGTACAACTGTCAAATATTATAAGATGGGGCCTCCCTGGTGGCGCAAGGGGTTAAGCACCGCACTGTAAAGCAATCTTCAGCCTCTGCGGCACAAGTTCGATTCCCATCCTGCCAGGGAGCAACCCACATGGCGCAGCAGACCTCTCCTGTCTCGCCCGCTGCTCCCCTCAGTAGTGTATTTCAGTTCGTCTGCCTGTTCTGTTCCCCACTCTGTCTCTGGTGAGTCCTCTCACCCACTACACCTCTGGCCTGTACCCCAGCTTTCGTATGCATAAATAAATAAATCTTTAAAAAAAATTATAAGATGGTTTTTGCAAGTATTAAGATGATTACAGGGAAATCCTTTGAATTGACTTTAGGGTTTTTTTCTTGTGCAATGTAACATCAGTGCAGAAAAATGCATAAAATGTGCAATCTACAGAAATATTAATAATCTTTTGTGAAATGAAATTAGCCCTAAATGTAGAATAAGCTTTCATAGCAGGTGCCCCATCAGAAACAAATCTTAATGCCACACCCCCTCACATTCTTCAAATGTAACATACTGATACATTTGTAGTTAAATAATTATGCAAATATATGTATATATTCTAAAGCAATTTAGGAATTAATTTGAAGTGTTGACGCAAGTGATTATTTCATTGTTCTCCATCCTGCCCTGCAACCAGCCATTCATATCTATATAGATAAAGAAATAAATGTGTACATACACAGTAACACACATGTGAATAAACATCTCCTTCCTCACCTCCCTGTTCTACATTTTCCATAGCACCTGTGTTTGATTAGCTTATTTATTGTTTTCCGCCAAAATATTTTATGGTCCATATGGTTCAGAATTTTTCGGTTCACTATAGCCTTCGTGCCTGCTAGCACTATGTAACTAGGAAGCTGTACCTTAGACAATTTTACTAAAGCTCTCTAAGCAAAGCAGTCTTGCATGTGACACAGGGCTTTGATGGAAGCAGAAGCATAGAGATGTGCGGATAGAATGGGATGCTATGGAGCCATTGCAGCCAGCAAAAATCTGGCTTATCTCCTTAACACTTTGGGAAATACCAGTCAGTCTCATCATAAGGTGTGTGTCAAAGAAGTGCAGGGTAATGTTAGCAGTTGATTGCATTTCTGTACTGCTGTGACTTAGATTTAATATTGTCTGCTTTACAGAGTTACAAGATTGTATGCTAAAGTATAGAAAGCCCTTTGACTAGTCTCAGCTAATGGGGTCTCACTCGGTCATATATTTTGAAAATATGATAGAGAGAAGAAGTATGTGATGATTTCAAGCTAGGTCTGTTGGGAATCCCTGCTGTAGTTTTTTCAGCCTGTTGTAACAAAAATACCAGAGACTGGGACTGACAAACAACACAGGTTTATTTCTCAAGGTCAGCAGAGAGGAAAGGTACATGGGAGGAAGTCCTGAGGAAGCTGGGCCTGGAATGCCAAGGGTCCCGCAATGACATCACACAGGATGTTCATAGTTCCCTCAACAGCAAGTTATGACATGTGAAATGACGACTAGGGAAGCTAATAAGACTTGGTCACCAGGCCACTGGGGCCTGGTCATGCAGACCCTCTGCCTAGCACAGTGCAAGATTTCAGACTAGAAGGAAAGCAAGTCTTTGGCATAAGTCATATTATTTGTGTAAGTAGCCAGCCATAGGGAGACACCCATATCTACATAGAGGGAACCTCCCAAGTCCAAGTTCCCATGCACCACCCGAGGGCCAGCCTTGCAAGTGGCGCTCTGTAGGCATAAGGACTCCCAGGCCTGCCAGTTAATACCTTAGTGCACAGTTATTCCACATGGCCCTTGCACAAGGCATGTTTAAATGCCTTTATTTCCAGTGGAACCCTATGCAGTTGAGTGAGACCAACAAGCTGTATGTTAGCAAGTTGCAAGTAAGAATTTCTTAAGTTCAAATTGACCCACTGCTGGGCAGTCATCATTTTCTAAAGGACGTTAGAAATAGGTTTTCAAGGGGCTTCCCTGGTGGAGCAAGGGGTTAAAACGCAACCTATGAAGCTCTCCACAGCCACTGCAGCTCAAGTTGGAGCCCCGGCCAGGGAGCAACCCACATGGCGCAGCAGACCTTTCCTGACTCTCCCGCTGATCCCCTCAGCAGTGTATTTCAGTAGATCTGCCTGTTCTGTTCCCCACTCTGTCTTTGGCGAATCCTCTTACCATCCACACCTCTGGCCTGTACCCTGATTCTTGTATACATAAATAAATAAATCTTTAAAAAAAAATAGGTTTTCAATTAGAGCTCTTTAGCAAACTAAATATGACTGAAAATTCCAAAAATCTGTCTATTCAAAACATCTTCATTTGCTTTCTCTTTTTTGACCCTCCAATAGTGAAAATCAGTGTGGGAAATGTGCAGAGGTTTGTGTTCTCAGGTCTTTCTCTCTTTCCTGAATTCAAACTTCTCAATAGCTTCCATCCTTGTGAAAGCAGAAAGAGTAGAAACAGCTTTTGATAATTACATGGACAAATTAAAATGAATACTTTGAAATTTTTTAATTCAGCTGGTAAGGCCTATCACCTGCAGGTCTTGAAGACAAAATGGCTCGTTGACCTTTGCTGCAAATTGTGTTTCAACAGACTCATTAGCCTTTTATGTTTGGTGAGGGGAATGGAAGGAAAAGATTCTGGCCCTTCAGTGTCTTTTTATTCCTAAATCCTTATCTAGGTTTGACTTCATGCTTTGTGTAGAGTTGAGTGATGGGGTGTGCAACAGGGAAGGAGTTGAAGTAGTTTTTGTCACAAGAGCTTGGTGGATCTTACAAGGCAAATGTTAGGCCCATTTGTATAACATGAATTTCTCCAGTGTGGTCTGAACATATTGATGAGAGGAGAATAAGACTTGAAATGGTCATCGTAAGAAAGAGAACCTCAGTGGTACTATTAAGTCTATGAGGGCATGAGAGTGGACAAAGAGTAAGAGGCCTGAGGCCGAGTCACAGAGGAGTCTTGCCTAGACTGATCATGCATGTAGGCTGCTTGCCCCATGCTGAGTGTCACCCATCTTCCTGCACGTATGTTGGGTGTTTCAGGACTCTGTGGTCTTTGAGGATGTGGCTGTGGACTTCAGTCAGGAGGAGTGGGCTCTCCTGGATTCTGCTCAGAAGGAGCTCTACAGAGATGTGATGCTGGAAAACTTCATAAACCTGGTCACAGCGGGTAAGCGTGACATCATTCCTTTCCTTGCAGAGGACAAGCACTTCTTCTCTATCTGTTCCAATATTGGCATTTGGAAAGAGAATACATTAATTAATAAGACAGACATGGTTACAACATTCTTAGAGCTAGAATCCAATCATTTCTGCTTGAGAATGAGGAATCTGTGTATTGAAATCAGTTTTAATTTCCATAAAGAAATCTCCCTTAGTTGGTGGATATAGGTATCATGAGTCATTAGGGGACCCAGTGAAGTTTATTTTTGTAGCTTTGTGAGAATTTTACTGTTTATTAAAATGCCATCTACCACTAGTTTTTTGACCACTAGTACATCTTACTGATAAAGTTCTGACATAACTGGACTCCTCAGTATCATTTTGACTAACAGATTCTTTCTTATAAGACTGGTTACCTTTTTTGATTTCAGATGACTTGACTAGATTTAAGGCCAGTGAGTCAGTTTCTCAGCAGGATATTTATGGGAATAAAATATCAAAGTTCATCAGAAATGATTCCTGGATCTCAGTTTTAGGAAGAATTTGGGAAGAACTTAACACTGAAGATCAGCATACAAGCCAGGAGAGTCTTATGAGGTGAGTTGCTCTCAAAAGAAAGCTGTCTTCTCAGAGTAAGTTAGAAAAAACCCACACAGTCTAGATCACATTTGTTTATTCACAGATTTTCACAAATAATATTCCCTTAACTGTGATGTAGATGTTGAATGTTAGAAATATAATTAAGTTGAAAACAAGAGGAAATCCTACATTTAAGAAACACCATCTTCAAGATGACTATTGTCAAGTCTCCCCCACCCCATGTCTATTTAGTTCATTTCACTTGAAAACATTTCAGATTTAGCAACCTACACATTCACTGAAATTGGTGAACATGTAATCCTAATATTTACTAATAATACCCAGTACTTATTAATAAATGTTATAATAAATTATTATTAATCAAACCATTAATAACATGTTCCTCTTTTTAACAGAAATCATGTGGTGGAAAAATTCTGTGAAAGTAACAATCAATTCAATTTGGAAGACTTCAGCCAGATTGCAAATCTTAATCTATCCCAGAAGACTCTTACTGGAGAAGAGCAGTGTGAATGCAGTGCATATGGAAAAGTCTTCAAGCATCATCCATCCCTCCAGGGTCACCTTGCCATTCACAACGAACACAAACCGTATCAATGCCAGGACTGTGGGCAGGCCTACAGCTGCCGTTCACACCTAAGAACACACTTGAGAATCCACAAGGGAGAAAGACCCTATGCATGTAAATTATGTGGAAAAACCTTTCCTTGTACTTCTTCCCTCAATCGCCATATAAGGATTCACACTGCGGAGAAATCCTATGAATGTCAGCAGTGCAGGAAAGCCTTCATAGATCTGTCAAGTCTTACTAGTCATGTGAGAACTCACACTGGAGAGAAGCCATATAAATGTAAGGTGTGTGGGAAAGCTTTCAGTTATTCCTCAACTTTCCGAAGACACATGATTACACATACTGGAGAGAGGCCCTACAAATGTAAGGAATGTGGGGACGCTTTCAGTCACTCGTCAACTTTTCAAAGACACATGATCTCACACACTGGGGAGACACCACATAAATGTAAAGAATGTGGGGAAGCCTTCAGTTATTTCTCAGCTTTTCGAAGGCACATGATAACACACACTGGAGAGAATCCCCATCAGTGTAAACAGTGTGGGAAAACCTTCATTTATCTCCAGTCCTTTCGAAGACATGAAAGGATTCACACGGGGGAGAAACCATACGAATGTAAACTGTGTGGGAAAACCTTCATTTATCCCCAGTCATTTCGAAGACATGAAAGGACTCATGGTGGAGAGAAACCCTATGTGTGTAGTCAGTGTGGGAAGACATTCAACCATCCCTCGTCCTTTCAAGGACATGTACGAGTGCACACTGGAAAGAAACCTTACGAATGCAGTCAGTGTGGGAAAACTTTCAACTGGCCCATATCCTTAAAAAAACATATGAGGACACACTCTAGAGAGAAGCCCTATGAATGCAAACAATGTGGGAAAGCCTTCAGTTTGTCTGCTTGCTTTCAAGAACATGTGAGAATGCATCCTGGAGACAAAGCCTATGAATGCAAACTATGTGGGAAAGCTTTCTACTGCCACATATCCTTACAAAAACATATGAGAAGGCACACTGCAGAGAAACTCTATGAATGCAAAGCTTTTAGTTGGCCTGAACTCTTGCAACAGCATGTGAGAACACACACTGAAGAGAAACCCTATGAATGTAAGGAATGTGGTAAAGTCTTCAAATGGCCGTCATCTTTACCAAGACACATGAGAATTCACACTGGGGAGAAACCTTACGAATGTATACAGTGCGGGAAAGCCTTCAGCTGTTCCTCATCCTTAAGAAGACACATGAGGATGTTAGAAGAACATCCTCTGAGCAAGTCCAGGGGGACCTCTGCCGCTCGCCACAGCCGTCCTGGCCTAGGGCTTCCTGCTTTTACTGATAACTGTGCCCCTGGCCAGCTGGGCCACAGAGGTAACACTACTAAGGGATCCAGAGCCCCCAAGCCTCGCTGCCAAGTGCCCACCAGTGCTCATGATCAACTCAGTGGGCAAGGTGGAGCTTTCTGCTCCACCTCCTGACTTTCTGGGAACTAGGGGTGGGGCCACCACAGGGACTTATCCCTCTCTCCATGTCTGGCTCCCACTCCTGTGTCTGCTCAGCACATGGACACGCTTTGACCACATGCAACTCCCAGCTCCCGCTTCTGCTTGGCTCTGGTCTCTGCTTTTCAGACTGATGACCTCTTCTCCAGCTGCAGCTCCTACTTAGTGGACACTGTGAAGTAGGAGAGAATGCATTTGGCCATGTGTTGGCCTAAAAGTTGTCTTCTCTCCCTTCTCTCCCCTTTCTTCCTGTTTAAATAAATCCTTTAATAGTTGTTGCTCTCCGTGTGTCCTGCATTCTTAATCCCACAGATGAGGTCTCAACCAGCCAGGTCATCCCTGGTCCCTCACCCTCCCACCAGCCCCCTCAATTTTGTCCAGTTTCAACAATACACATGACAGAAAAGCACTACATATGTAATAAGGGAAATTTTACAATTGAATTCCTGCAGGGCCTCCCTGGTGGCACAAGGGATTAAGCACTGCACTATGAAGCAATCCACAGCCTCTGCAGCACGAGTTCGATCCCCGGCCGGCCAGGGAGCAACCCACATGGCACAGCAGACCTCTCCTGTCTCACCTGCTGCTCCCCTCAGCAGTGTACTTCCGTTAGTCTGCCTGTTCTGTTCCCCACTCTGTCTCTGATGAATCCTCTCACCCTCCCCCGGATCTCTGACCTGCACCCCAGCTCTTGTGTGCATAAATAATCTAGCAGAATTATAGATGAAACATTTACCCACCCTGGATTTTCCAGATTGACTTTTTTAAATATTTATTTATTTATTTATTTTATTTATACAATAGCTGGGGAACAGGCCAGAGGCGCAGGAGGGTGAAAGGATTCACCAGAGACAGAGCAGAAAGCAGAACAGGCAGACAGACCAAGAACAGTGCTGAGGGAAGCAGAGGGCGAGTCAGGACAGGTCTGCCACGCCATGTGGGTATCTCCCTGGCTGGCTGGGAATTGAACCCGTGCTGCAGAGGCTGTGGATAGCTTCACAGTGCTGTGCTCAACCCGCTATGCCACTGGGGAGGCCCCAGATTGACTTTTCATATGTTCTGCTTTTATGTTTTTTGTTCTTTTTTTTTTTTTTTTTTTTGTGGGACCCTCGCCAGTGGCCGGGGAACAAACCAGCGCTGCAGAGGCTGCAGGCAACCCCACAGCCCAGCGCTCAACCAACTGTGCCACCAGGGGAGGCCCTGTCAGCAGGATTTTGACTCCGATGACCAAAGCTGCTTCAGGGCCGGGGACCCGGCGTCTGCCTGCCGTGCTGCCAGAGACCTCCTCTGGCACTCGGGGGTCAGAGTCGTTTCCCTAGGAACGACCCCTGTGCCAAGCTGGGACAAGACAGGACTGAGGGCTCCAGAGACCTCTGGCTCCAAGGTCAGCTGAAGGGCCAGTCACCATCGATCCTGTCCTTTGTATCGGGACACTCACGTCACCAGGGCCAGTCATGGTCCTGTTGGACAGGTGGCGGTTTATGTGAAGGACGCTAAGTTACTCTCCTCAGCCCAACTAATGAATGGAGCATTATACTCTCACATTGTCACCCAAGGATACACTCACTTTCCCTTCTTGACTACTAGTCATGTCATGTGGGGCTCCTTGTCTCTCCTGATGGTGTATTACTGAGTCATGGCTTCATTTCTGCTTTCCAAACTTGATGCAGCTTCCTCTTCTCATAAACTTTAATGCTGAGCCATAAACACAAGGACTCTGGGATATATAGGTTCCTGTATATAGTAACCATGATGACAACACATTTCAGTAGAACTAGCTGGACACATTTTTTTTTTTTTAAGATTTATTTATTTATGCATACAAGAGCTGAGGTACAGGCCAGAGATGTGGGGGGTGAGAGGACTCACCAGACACAGAGTGGGGAACAGAACAGCAGACTGATTGAAATACACTGCTGAGGGGAGCAGCAGACAAGACAGGAGAGGTCTGCTGCGCCATGTGGGTCAGCTCCCTGGCCAGGGATTGAACTCAGGCCACACCCTTCAATAAAGAAAACTAAAGGGATGGGTAGATAATGAATCAGAAAATTATAGTATATGCAACATCGGATCTGAAATTTCAAATCTTATTTCATGATCACATCAAACTTTGCATTTAAATTATATCTAATTGCACATGGAAAAAAAAAAAAAACACTTATCACCCATAGGTCCAAAAGATACTGTAATGGAAAATCAGACAAGTTTCATATAACTGTGCAATTATTGAAAGTCTGACATAACACAATATATGTAGTATGGGTGAAGGGGATATAGGGGGATATTTATTAAGGGTTAATATTAGCAACATGAACTGAAAATGAAAACAGTAGGAACTCCTATTACAGATGTGGCACTCAGAGACAAAATCATGTAACAAAAGATTTATGTCCTATGAGTTTTCATGTAGAAAATAGTGAAATGCTACTCTTGAAGGCTCCCCCACATTCTTTCCACTCATAACATTTCTCCCCAATGTTTGCTCCCACGTGCAATAAGATTTGAAGGGCGATAGAGGACTTTCCCACAGTCCTGGTACTCAGAGTTTCTCCCAGCCGTGTGTCCTCCTATGTTTTCGCAGGTTTGCTGGATACCTGAAGGCTTTTCCACAGTCCTGACACTCGTAGGGTCTCACCCCCGTGTGTGTTCTTGCATGTACTCGAAGTGAAGAGTCACAGTTGAAAGTTTTCCCACACTGCTTACATTCATAGGGTCTCTCCCCGGTGTGTGTTCTAACATGCACCTGCAGGGATACCGGGTACCTGAAGGCTTTGCCACACTGCTGACATGCATAGGGCTTCTCCTCACTGTGCATTCTCACGTGTTTTTGCAAGGATGACGACCAGCTGAAGGCTTTCCCACAGTGCTGACATTCAAAAGGTTTCTCCCCACTGTGTGTCCTCACGTGTCCTTGAAGAGAGGAGATGGAGCAGAAGGCTTTCCCACAGTGCTGACATTCAAAAGGTCTCTCCCCGGTATGTGATCTCACATGTCTTCGAAGGGATGAGGAAAAACTATAGGCTTTCCCACACTGCTTACACACATACGGTTTCTCTCCAGTGTGCAATCTCGTGTGCCCGCGCAGAGATGTGCCGTACTTGAAGGTTTTGCCACACTGCTGACACTCATAGGGTTTATCTCCGCTGTGCATTCTTGCGTGGTCTCGAAGGTGACAGTGAAACCTGAAAGCTTTCCCACAGTCCTTGCACTCATAAGGTTTATGTCCACCATGCATCTTCACGTGCTCGCGGAAGTATGAGGGGCAACCGAAATACTTCCCACATTCCTTACATTCAAACGGTCTCTCTCCAGAGTGAATCCTCATATGTCGCATGAGAAAAGAGTAATACTTAAAGGTTTTCCCACATACTTCACATGGATGGATGTCCTGTCCATAGTGATGTCTCACATGTCCCTGAAAGTATGAGAGGCGCGTGAAGGTTTTTCCACATTCCTTACACTTAAAAGATGTTTGACTTCTCAGGCTCTTCACAGATCTCTCAGATGCTCTCCCGGCATCCTGACATTCACAGGGTTTCCCCACAATGTCCGTGGCCATCTGAGTGCTTAGGCGTGAGACACAGGCTTGCCCACATTCGTCACAATAAGGTTTCTGTCCAGTGTGACATCTTTGGCAATTTGTAAGGAAAGAATAATCCTTGTAAGGAAAGAATAATAATCCTTTTCCACACTGAGTGCACTCCCGGGGTTTCACTCCACGAGGCTCTCTCTCATGCACAAGAAGATTTTTAATCAGTTGCAAGGATTCTCCACAATCATTATTTTCATTAATTTCACAGACTCTCCCCACCAGGTGACTTCTGATCAACAGAGGAAGCACACTGGCTATGCTGGTGGCACATAGACAAGACAGGAAGCACACGATTAGTGACTATTGATTATCAGTGATTTTTTATTAATGATTTATAGATGACTGTCATGATAATTATCAGGGTATTTTTATTTTCACCAAATAGGTATGTTTTCTGCACGGTCTCCATTGTTATAAAGTGACGCAAGCCAAAAAAAAGTGAAACAAGCTGAACAACCTGTTTGAGGACTCACATGTGTGCCGAAACGCCCAGTGTTCCTGTCATCATTTCCAACTGAATTGTTTCAGGTACTCATATCTATAGCATCTTTATCAAACTATTGTCAAAAAATTCTCGGAATAGGGCCTCCCCGGTGGTGTAGCGGTTGAGCGCTGGGTTACGAAGCAGACCTCTCCTGCCGCCCACTGCTCCCCTCAGCAGTGTACTTTGGTCCTTCTGCCTGCTCTGCTCCCCACTCTGGTGAATTCTCTCACCTTCCCGCCCTTCTGACTGTACCTAGTGCTTGTATAAATAAATAAATAAATCTTTAAAAAAAAAAATTCTCAGAATACATTTTTAGCTAAGTTTCTACTTGTTCATTCACTTCAATTTAGTCTAACACCCCCAAGGTCCTCCCTCCCCCTATGGGAGCACCACTCACCTCTCCTGGCTTTGGTGCTGGTCCTCAAAATTATGAAACATCCACTTTTTGTGAAAAAAAGGCCAGGAATCATTTCTTGTGAATTTTACTTTTTTCTCTCCACAGGATATTTCCTTTTCCAAAATATCACCATGAGGGCTTGATCCACTGGTTTTTACTTGAGTGTGACAATCTGTAACAACTAGTAACAGGAATTAATATCGTGGGAAATGCACAGTAGGATAAAAGAAAGAAAACAAATCACATATATATATCTTTTCCTATAAACATCCAAAAATGTAAACAAATGTTACAGAGAAGAATGGACTTAAGAGCAAAAAACTACTATGCGGACCCCAGTCATCTGGGGCTTTGGCAATCACAGGGAAATAAAATGGAAGCCTGTTCACTAATAAATTCTTAGAAAAAGTGGTGCTAGGTTGACAGAAATATTATCAGAAGAGCAAAGTAGAAAGGAACTGGGAAAAATGGGCATGCCCAGTGCTACCTTTATAAGAGGATAGAGAACATCCTCCCCAGGGGGAGCACATGGATGAAAAATCCAACAGGGAAGCCAGTTAATAAAAGGCAGCGCCCTCCTCACAAACACCAAGGCACGTTTGTAATGAATACATCTGGGTGCCAGTCCCTGCCCCGGGACCTGTGCCTCTCATGGTTGTTCCTCTCCTGGTGTTGGCAAGCAGAGGCCCCAGAGGAACCTTTGTCTCCCGTCCCCGCTACCTCAGGAGAGCGGATGCGTGTGTAGTGCCGCTCTGCTCAGCGTAAGGGGGACTCAAAGAACAACAATCATTCCTTAAGATAACTCAGGGGCCTCCCTGGTGGCACAACGGGTTAAGACGTGACCTATGAAGCAATCTGCAGCCACTGCAGCACTAGTTCGATACCCGGCCAGGGAGCTACCCACATGGCACGGCAGACCTCTCCTCCTGTCTCGCCCGCTGCTCCTCTCAGCAGTGTATTTCAGTAGATCTGCCTGTTCTGTTCCCCACTCTGTCTCTGGTGGATCCTCTCACCCACCCCCACACCTCTGGCCTGTACCCCAGTTCTTGTATGCATAAATAAATACATCTTTAAAAAAAAAAAAAGATAACTCAGTACTTTGGTTTCCAGACCACTGACGATGTCAAAGTGGGGGCTGAACTGCAGCAGGACTCCCAGGTCAGATGAGCATTGACCAGTGCAGCTTTCCAGGGGTAAGAACCGTAAAGCTGCTCTTACTTCCCCAGTGACACCAAAAGATATGCTCAGATTTATAAAATAAGGAAGCCTCAGACTTTTGATCAAAAGCAAACAGCTCTAATACAGAGGTATCTGGCTCTCGGCAGGTTTCATGAAGACTTGGGCTATCATATCTGCCTATTTTCCAATACATTCAATTCCTTGACCTTAGCAGGAACTATCATTACTAATATTTGTTTGTTAAGGACTTAGTGAGGGAGAAGCCATCTTACCCACGGAGGCCAGGTTCCTGCAGGTCTCCAGCATCACCTCTCTGTACAGCTTCCTCTGAGCACTGTCCAGCAGAACCCACTCTTCCAAGGTGAAGTTCACAGCCACATCCTCAAAAACCACGAAGTCCTGAAACATCCCACATACTCTATTTTAGCCAGGCGCCATCTCCCCCATGTGCGTAGGAAGAAAGGGGAGGCAGCAGTGGGAAACTGGGCTCAGATCCTAGGACACGAGGGCTCTACTTTTGTTGGAAATGACAACAAGCAAGCAAATCAAATACAGCGTGTTCAGCGATAGTGAGTGCTACGGAAATTGAGCAACAACAGATACAGCCTTACACACATATGAATTATTTTCTGAGATAGAACAGATTCTGAGGTAAAGAAAACACAAAAATGAAAGCATTCAGGTAACAGAAACTGTTACTTGGCCTGATGAAAGCTTATTATTTCCCTGTCAGCTGTAACAACTGCTAGCAGAAAGTCAAGATGCTGTGAGCGTTTAGATTTCCAGAACTGCTTGTCCTGAATAGCTTTCACCTTGGTAGGCAATAGATGGAGAAGCCTGGTCTGGTCCCCTCATGTCCAATAGAGACCTGACCCCTCCCAGGATGAAGGGGACACCATGGGCATAGATGCAGGCAGTGCTGGGGGGTCTTGTATACCTGTTGGGTAAGAAGCTTACCTGGTTCCTGAAGAATCTGTCAAGGCTTTCAAATAAATAACCAAATGCCTGATTTCAAGGCAAATGGCAGCACTAGGAAGAGTCACTGAAGGGTCGAATGATCATTGTCTAAAGGTGGCTTTAACATGGCCAAAAAAACAGCTAATTAAATCTTCAGAGCAATATGAGATGACAATACACCCATGAAATTAAAAAAATTATGATAAAAAATCAAAGATTGTTTAAAAATAGGGTCTCAAAATCTACAGAAAAAATTCCCACTATACTAGCTACAAAGAAGGCAATGTTACTTCAGCTGTGGTTAGGTACCAGGGAGAGAGTCAATATATACAGTAAAAAGGTAATGGTAGGATCCCAAGAATACTACAATGAGAGGGTTAAAAGCTTTTATAACTTAATAGAGCTGCATGTTACCAAAAACATAACAAGAGAGGAAGACAGAGGATTAAGGCAGCACCATGTAAACAGCCAGGTTTTCTACAGAACAAGGTGGTGGGATTTCCTAATAGACGCGAAAGCCTTTTATTTTATTTTTTAAAGACTTTTTTTTAATTTATACAATAGCTGGTAATCTTTTATTTATACAATTACGTGGTAATCTCCCTGCCAGCTGGGAATCAAACCCGCTGCAGAGGCTGCGGACAGATAGCTTCACAGCGCTGTGCGCTGAGGCACAACCCGCTGAGCCACCTGGGACGCCCCATGAAAGCTTTTTAAACAATAGTGATTAGGGCCTCCCTGGTGGCAGAGGGGTTATCAGTCTCAGCGCTATCACTGACAGAGTTTGATCCCCACCAGGGGCTGCTGACCCACAAGGCGCAGCAGACCTCTCCTGTCTCGCTTGCTGCTCCCCTCAGTAGTGCATTTCAGTGGATCCCCCTGTTCTGTTCCCCACTTTGTCTCTGGTGAATCCTCTCACCCCCCACACCTCTGGCCTGTACCCCAGTCCTTGTATGCATAAATAAATCTTAAAAAAAAAAAGGTGGAAGGAACCCCCATCGCTTTGTGTTGTGAAATATGACAGGCTGCAAGAATCCCCTCCCCATGCTACTTAGACGAGGCTCACAGACGCCCTTTGTCTATCTAGGACCAGGCCAGACACCTCCTTTTCTGTTCTCAGCAATGATTAAAGGAACATCAGCTGTCCCCATGACCACTCAGAACAAGATGCCTAATTTGGATGACTTCTCTCCTCCCTCTAGGTCCCCGCAATTGGCCACCTGGGCCTGAGCCAGCACAGCCCTTCCTAAGGGCAGGTGCTCAGGGCTCTGCACCCCACAGCACGCCCGTCCTCCAGTTTCCTCCTCTCCATAGAAAACTTTTACCCAGCTCTTGGGAGACTCGCAGACCTGATGGTCAGGGCTTCAGCCCAGTACTAGCTGCGTCCCACTACTGCAGGCCCCTCCTCCAGTGCAACAGCCCCACGCCCCACCCTTGTAATAATGGCTTTGAAGAAAATTATCTCCTTACTGAGTTTGAATTTTTCACTTGCCATTGGCCTGACCAGCTATTCACAACTGCCCATTTCTTACCCAAGCTTCACTCAGGCTGCTTCCCTACTGCTCCTGACTTTGTCCCCCACCCCACCTACCAGCACTGGAAACAAGGCCCTGCTGACCTGAGCAGAAATGCTGGGACCATAACCCAGCCTCTTCCTGTCAAACTAGTCTCCTGCCTGCCCTCCTATGCAAAAGAAAGTTCCCTTCGTTTTTTTTTTTTTTTTTTTTTTTTAAAGATTTATTTATTTATTGATACAAGCACTGGGTACAGTCAGAAGAGCGGAAGGGTGAGAGAATTCACCAGAGCCAGAGCGGGGAGCAGAGCAGGCAGAAGGACCAAAGTACACTGCTGAGGGGAGCAGCGGGCGGCAGGAGAGGTCTGTGCGCCATGTGGGACCCTCCTCCGGTGGCCGGGGAGCAGCCGGGGATTGAACAGGCACTGCAGAGGCCGCGGGCAACTTCACAACCCAGCGCTCAACCGCTGCGCCACCAGGGAGGCCCTCCCTTTGGTTTGATCCAGATGTTGATCCATCTCTAAAGCTCAATCTTGTCCCACTGCAGTCTTTGGAATAATTCTCTCCCCTGATCACCACCACCATCCCTGCCCACCACCCACGAACGGGTGGTCGTTTGTTCTCCCTCAGTCACCCCACTCAGCCTTAGGGACCGTATAAAACCAAGGACACCCTGACCCCACCCCACTGGGACCTCACCCCAGGGAAGGAAACAGACTCCAGTGGAGAAACCTGTACAGATAACTCACCTCCACCCAAGCCACAGGGTACCCCTCAAGAGGCAATGGTTGTTAAAAGACACAACAGTCCCAAAATGAGTCACTTGTGCTAAGCCCCATGTCACCCAACTGAGGCAACACTCAACTTATAGTTTCAGCCTCTCCCAGGAATGGAATCTAAAACCAGTAAATCTGGAGTTACTTGGTCAGCACTGTTGAGCTCATCTGCGGGACTGATCCTTTCCTATCCCATAAGTGAAGGTGACCTTGCCACAACCAATCTGATTTTTACTAGTGTCTCTTCCTTGCCTGCTCCCTCCTTTCTGTCTGTAAGTCTTTCATCTGTACAGCTCCTGAGAGCTCTTTTCTCTCTGCTACATGGGATGTTCCCCAATTTGTGAATCAGAGAATAAAGAAAAAAAACTTTAATTTTACTCAGCTGAATTTTGTTTTTAACAGAGGATGAACACTGGTACCCCACCCAGCTTCCCAGGAGTCAGGCTGGGCCCTGGAGTGTAACAAAGTGGCTCCCAGCAAAGGGAAAGGTTCCAGGCTTCCTGCCCCACCCATGGGAGGGTGGAGCTGAGCAGGGAGAAGAGAAGCAGCAGCAGAGGTGCCTGGGGAAGGAAGCAGGATGGAGCCAGGAGGGGACCTGGAGGAGGCACATGGAGCAGAGAGGCATGTGAAGTGTGCTTGCCTTGTGGTTGTGGACTGGGTGACACAGATGTGGGTGAGAGACCCGTGGGGAGGTAACAATGGCGGTTTTTGTCTTGATTTTGCTCTTTTCCTCCCAGACTTGTCTGGTTGTTTCTGATCCTTTTCTGTGGGTCCCCATTGGAAGATGCTTTAGACTTGTGGCGGGATTTGGGGCCTTGCTCTGGGCCAATCCTGCTTGGGTGGACTTTCACCCACAAGGGGATGGGTAACTTTGGGTGCTTGATTTAGAAACGGTATTCTTTGCCTTTCCTGTATTGTTTACTAACTGTATGAAAGCTCCTTTTCATTAAGGTCTTATGTTTTGTGTTGATGTGGTAGATGGCAGAACCTATTTAGGGCAGAGAGGTTTACCAGGTCTGGGGTGCCCCTCTCCCTGCCCTGTAACTCGGAGTGATGAAGGACAAGAATAGAAAAATTGGAAGATACAAGGTCAAGAATCTGACTCACAAGAGGAGGTAGGGGTAGAAGGGATTAGCATAATCCATTAACCCACTTATAGAAACCAAGACCCTCAGGCATCAACGCCCAGATCAGGAGGTGCAACACCCAGAAACTATCAGTCTGCTATAGGGAGTGTCAATGGCACAAACCATCCACCCACAAGAAGTGCGCCCCTCCCAAAGAGAAGACTGTATCAGTGCAGTCTCTGCACACCTGTGACTATGCAGGTGCCTCTTCTCACCAACTGTCTCCTCTACAGGGCAGCAGCCTCCCTGCCTGCCCGTGACCTGCACTATGCCGGGGCTTCTCCTCACTGACCTCCCTCAGTGGAGGCGGCTCTCCTCAAGCCAGTCCGCCTGCAACCACGCAGGCCTCCTCAGTGAACCTGTCCCTTTCCCTAGTAAACCTGCTATTTAAATATAACTAACGTCTCTGTCTTCTGGAGAAACCCGCCTGGGGCACTCGCCGGGTGTCGCAGAAACGGGAGCTCTGGGGACACCTTTCCCAGAGTGAGCCCAAGGCCCGGCAGTAACTCCACGAAACTCCACCAGGAGGCCCACCCCAGGGAGCAGGGCCAGGAGGCGGGAAGCCCCACCTCTAGGGCCAGGGTGAGGACACAGGCGGGGACTCCAAGCACCATCAGGAAGGGAGGGGACAGGACGAGGGGCCCCATCCAGGGGGAAGGCTGCAACTCAGGTCCATGGCGGGGGGGAAGGGGGGAGGGAGGGTAAAATATATAGCTTCAAGCCGGTTCCGACCGGTTGGAACCAGCCGGTCCCAGACTGTCCCAGGACCCCGCGCACTCACCATTCCGTCCCGCTCCGAGCGCTCCGGGGAGTCCATCCCGCGGCCACGCCCGAGACAGGCGCGAGCGAGGCGCGAGAAACCCCGGGTCCCCCGGAGGCAGCAGCGCGGCGGGGGCTCGGAAAGCAAAGTCCACTTGGGCCGAGCGCGTCGCCGGGCCCGGCCCCGATTGGACCGGCCATACCGCGTCCCGCGCGGTGATTGGCTGCTCGCCGGGCCCTGCCCCCGGAGGCCCCCGTTGGACGGCGTTGCCGGAAGCGCCTTCCTCCGGCCGCTGACCGGCCAGTCCCCCGCCCCTCCCCGGCCCCGCCCCCTCCGCCCCCTATTGGACCGTCTCCCCAGGCTCCGCCCCCGCTTCCTGCGGGCCGGCCGGAGAGGGCTGGATGGCGCGGCCGCGCGCCCGGGGTCGGCGCGCCGGCGTCACGCTGCGGCCTGCGGAGCCCGCGTCCCCCTGGACCTGGAAGTCCAGTTTCCCTCACGGAGCACCCCGTATCCTCAGCAGGGACAGGGGTGGGTCGGAGGGGGGGCCCTGCAGCGTCTGTGCTAAGACAAAGACGCCCAATGGTGACGTCACCGCATACAAGAGCTGGGGTACGGGCCAGAGGTGCGGGGGTGGGGGTGAGAGGAGTCACCGGAGACAGAGCGGGGAGCAGAACAGGCGGATCCACGGAAATACACTGCTGAGGGGCGCAGCGGGGAGACAGGAGAGGTCTGCTGCGCCGGGTGGGTCAGCAGTGGCTGCAGATTACATCATAGTGCTGCGCCACCCGGAGGCCCTGCGCAGGGTTTTGACGTGTGACCTTTGACCCCGGGACACACCCCCCCCCCCCCCATTCCTCCCTGCCGCTACTCAAGCGGCTTGAGGTTTAGCAAACGCTGGTGCCTGGAATCCCTGGTATCCGGGGGACCGGGCGCCCGCGCCCCAGCTTACATCCAGGACTCGTCTCCACACAGCCACTAAGGTGAGAGGCTAGAATTCCACGAGTGCATTTTTTCCTACAAGGAAATGCTCTTTAGATATCTCTAGAGAAAAAAAAAATAGATATCTCTAGAGAATTCTGGAATATAAAAAGGCTGTGAAACCCCCATGTCAATGAATTTCTTTCCTTTTTTTTTTTTTAAATTCAAATTCTTCACTTTTTTTTTATATAGAGGCATGTTTTATTTATTTGTTTATACAAGCACTGGGTACAGTCAGAAGCGCGGGAGGGTGAGAGAATTCACCAGAGCCAGAGCGGGGAGCAGAGCAGGCAGAGAGACCGAAGACACTGCTGAGGGGAGCAGCGGGCGGCAGGAGGGGTCTGCGCGCCATGCGGGACCCGGGGAGCAGCCGGGGATCGAACCAGCGCTGTAGTGGCTGCGAGCAGCCTCGCAACCCAGAGCTCAACCGCTGCGCCACCGGGGAGGCCCCTTTTTTTTTTTTTTTTAACAGAACAGGCAGACTTATTAAAATACACTGCTAAGAAAAGCAGCCGTAGACAGGAGAGGTCTGCTGCCTTCAATGAATTTCTATTTTAACTGATTTTTTTAAGCACAATACAACGATTAAATTTGGGTTAGACTTGAAAACACGTAATGCATGATTCAATTAGGCATACTAATGATTACCAGGATGACTTATTTCAGAAAATACCCTCCAGCTTTCCATACAGTAGGTGTATAAGCATCAATATCTCTTATTTTACTTACAAACATAATTATGAAAATTTGTTTTTTATGATTTGCAATAAGGTTTAATTCACTTTCATAAAGATTAGTATTTAGGGGAACAAACTTTAGAATGGTCTCCTATATAGAAAATAACTTACAATTAAAAATAAATTACTTTTTATTTTACTCAATTTCTTTTGTGTGTTCATAATGTATGCCCCATTACAAATTCAGCTTGAGAATTAGCATGTCCTTCAGCACTATTAAATTTGTTTTCAAAAAAATCCAATAATTCTTTTAGAATTCATCTGAGTACATTTAAAAATCTAATTGCCTTTAATTAAATGATATATGAATCAAACAGCATGCCACCTAGAAGAGAGCAGCTCCAGGCCTCCCTGGTGGTGCAAGGGGTTAAGCACCACACTATGAAGCAATCTGCAGCCTTTGCAGCACAAGTTCGATTCCTATCCTGCCAGGGGGCAACCCACATGGTGCGGCAGAACTCTCCTGTCTTGCCCACTGCTCCCCTCAGCAGTGTACTTCAGTCCGTCTGCTGTTCTGCTCCCCACTCTGTCTCTGATGAATTCTCTCACCCTCTTCACATCTGGCCTGTACCCCAGTTCTTGTATAAATAAATCTTTTTAAAAAAGAAAAGAAAGAAAGCAGCTCCAAAGACAGAATAGAAGGTGTTTCTTGTTTTTTTTAGCATATAAATCTAATTTTATTCTTAAAGGTCAAATTAGCTAGCAGGTAGCACTGACAATACACTTTCACTGCACAAAACAGTGTAAGCTGGTTACACATTAATAAAGAATTTAACACACATACTTCTCTAATGAAGGAAGCTAGATACTGCCCTTGCTTTAAAAAGCTGTACATGAACAGAAGTGGACATGTTTAGTATAAGGCCCTGGCAGCTACTAGAGAATGTCAGTTGTGCCCAGTTACATTTGAACACAGAAACAGCAACAATGTGGAAACTTACATTCATGGAATAGTAAAGTGGACATTCAGAAGAGCTACTGCCCTGCCAGCGTGTACCCTATTGGCCACTGTGGACAGTCATCAAACAAAATGGAAGGTTTTCATAAACAGCAGTGGGGGAGATAAGGAAAGAGTAGCTTTGTCTAAGGCTTCCCTTGGGGGAAGAAAGCATGTATTAAGCAGATTTCCTAATTGGAAAATTCCAGACAAACCGCTTTAGATACCATTCTTGGGAGAGGTTGAAACTACAACTAGGTGACCTGAGTCTTAGCACAAGTGACTCCATTAGGGGAATTGTGTCTTTTTTAACAGTCTTCATGCCCCTTACCCCAGGCTCCCCTAGTCGCCAATTTTATTATTTATCTGGTCAGCATACATTTAAAAAAGTAGCAATTTCACCTACATGTTTTGCTTCCTTCCCTTCTTATAAAAAGTAACTTGGTGTACACATTACAATTTGCTTTTTGGGTTCAATTTTAAAAATCCTATAGATCTTTAATTTCAGGTGACTTTCTTCATCTTTAGGAAGGGGTTTTTTGTTGTTTTTTTTTTTAAAGACACAGGGCCGGGCCTCCCCGGTGGTGCAGCGGTTGAGCACTGGGTTGCGAAGCTGCCCGCAGCCTCTGTGGTGCTGGTTCGATCCCCGGCTGCTCCCCGGCCACCGGAGGAGGGTCCCACATGGCGTGCAGACCTCTCCTGCCGCCCGCTGCTCCCCTCAGCAGTGTACTTCGGTCCTTCTGCCTGTTCTGCTCCCAGCTCTGGCTCTGGTGAATTCCCTCACCCTCCCGCGCTTCTGACTGTACCCAGTGCACGTATAAACAAAACAAACAAATAAATAAATAAAACATGCCTCTATTAAAAAAAAAAAAACAAAAAATAAAAAAATAAAAGACACAGGGCCCAGGAGCAATAACTTCTGCTGAGCTCCATGTTAAAAAGCAAAATCCATCTGAGTAAGTTTGAAGATCTAATTGGCTTTATTCAACTATTCTGATTAGAGAAGTATCCCACCTAGCAAGTAGAGAGATTTGAGGAGTTGTACAAAATAGAAGGTTTTCATAGGCAGAAAGAAGTTGGGGCCAGGAGGGTATGAGCAGAAGATTATTTTGGGCAGTTTCCTTCCCTTGGGGGGAAGGCAGGAAAGTCTTACTGGACAGATTGCCTCACTAGCGGTGCTGGCAGGTAATTCCAGATTGATCAGTTTAAAATTCCACTCCTGGGCCTCCCTGGTGGCGCAGCGGTTGAGCACTGGGTTGCGAAGCTGCCCGCAGCCTCTGCAGCACCAGTTCGATCCCCGGCTGCTCCCCGGCCACCAGAGGAGGGTCCCACATGGCGCGCAGATCTCTCCTGCCGCCCGCTGCTCCCCTCAGCAGTGTCCTTCGGTCCTTCTGCCTGCTCTGCTCCCCGCTCTGGCTCTGGTGAATTCTCTCACCCTCCTGCGCTTCGGACTGTACCCAGTGCATGTATAAACAAAACAAACAAATAAATAAATAAATAAATAAAGTTATAGAGCACCAATAATAATTAAAAAAATAAAAAATTAAAAAAAAAATCCACTCCTAACTGGGGTCAAGACTGTAGTGAAGTTGGATATTAAAGTCTTGGTTTGACAGGCTTAGCACAAGTGACTCCATCTTGATCCTGATGTCTCCTTTTTAACATCAAGTTCATCAAACGCAGACTTTGCACTTAATTCCAATTTCAGCATCTCCCAGTAATGGAATTGAAACTAGTTGATCAGGAGTTAATTGGTCAGTACTACAGAGGTCGTCTGCCTGAGACCCGTGCCATCCTCTAAGAGAAGGTGACCTTGCCACAACCAATCTGTCTGTCACTAGTATAACTTCCAGGTCCTGTCCCATCTGTCCATAAGTCATCGGTACAGCCCCTTGGAGCTGCTTTCTCTCCATTGGATGGGATGCTGCCAATTCAGCAATCACTGGATAAAGGCAGTAAGGTGTGAAAATGTATTCAGCTGGATTTTGTTTTGTAACAGGTATAAGTTTATGAACTGGTTCTCTCTATAGACGCTGGGCTTATTTACAATCTTTCACTATTCAACTATTGCTGTGATAAGGAAATGAACCTTCTGTCAATCCTGAAATTGTCTCCCAAAGGTAGAAGAGAAACCGTTTTATTGCTGAATCAACACTTGTGGATCCCCCAGCATCCCTTGTTCTCAGGATGTAGTCTTGGTGCCCAAAGTTTCTGCTGGTCAAGCTAAAATGTAGTCAGGCAGGGAGCCCCTCACCAGGAAGTCTTGGTTTAAGGATATCTGCTCAAAACAGCAGGCAGACATTATGGCCAGACTGGCATAACCAGCTAGACCACCTGTAAACAGGGACTAAAAATAGGATGTTTTGATCAGCAGCAACAATGGAGCCCCCCAGGCAACAGGCCCTATTCACTCTCCTCTAGCTTATGCCATGTTATGCATCCCCAATCCCTATGCCCACCATGCACATTCCTCCA